TTTTGGGGCCATTCTGGGTGAATTTTGGGGCCGTTCTGGGTGACTTTCGGGGCCGTTTTGGGCTCGGTACCTTCGGAGTGGTGGGAGAGGATGAGCAGGCTGACGCAGGCGGCGCCGGCGCCGGAGCCGAAGATGGTGATGCGCTGGGGGTCGCCGCCGAAGTGGCCGACGTTCTCGTGCAGCCACCGCAGCGCCTGGATCTGGTCCAGCAGCCCGTAGTTGCCCTTGGCCGCCTGGTCCCCCGTGCTCAGGAAGCCTGGGGACACCGAGGGGACGTTGGGGACACCGCCAGGGGTGTTGGGGACACAACCATGGGATGTTGGGGACGTTGGGGACAGCCATGGGGATGTTGGGGACACCACGGGGATGTTGGGGACATCGTGGGGACAGCCATGGGGATGTTGGGGACACCGTGGGGATGTTGGGGACAGCAAGGAGGCGTTGGGGACACTGTGGGGACGTTGGGGACATCGAGGGGACGCTGGGGACACTGCCAGGGGTGTTGGGGACACCCCGGGGACGTGGGGGACATTGTGGGGACATTGTGGGGATGTTGTGGACACCCCGGGGACGTTGGGGACACAACCATGGGATGTTGGGGACGTTGGGGACATCGTGGGGACAGCCGTGGGGACGTCAGGGACACCGAGGGGACGTTGGGGACACCGCCAGGGGTGTTGGGGACACCCCGGGGACGTTGGGGACACCGCGGGGACGTTGGGGACACCGCCAGGGGTGTTGGGGACACAACCATGGGATGTTGGGGACGTTGGGGACAGCCATGGGGACGTTGGGGACAGCCCGAGGACGTTGGGGACATCGTGGGGACACCGAGGGGACGTTGGGGACACCGCCAGGCGGGTTTTGGGTGGGATTTGGGGGATCCCTGTCAGGATTTTGGGGTGCCCCAGTGAATTTCGGGGTCCCCCAGACGTGGTGGTGTGCTCCAACAAGCGGAGCAGTGCCTGGGTGGGGATTTTTGGAATTTTTGGGATCCCTGTGGGGATTTTGGGATCCCTGTGGGTTTGAGGGTTTTGGGTGGGATTTGGGGATCCCCGGTGGGATTTTGGGGTGCCCCAGTGATTTCGGGGTCCCCCAGACGTGGTGGTGTGGTCCAACGAGCGCGTCAGCGCCTGGGTGAGCAGCGTGGGGCTGCGCGAGTTCGCTCCCAACCTGGGCGAGTCGGGCGTGCACGGCGCGCTGCTGGCGCTGGACGACACCTTCGACTGGGCCGACCTGGCGCTGCTGCTGCAGATCCCCACCCAGAACACACAGGTGGGAACTGGGAACACTGGGAGGGACTGGGATGGGTGTGAAAGGGACTGGGAGGGACTGGGAGCACTGGGAGCACTGGGCTGAGCTGGCGCTGCTGCTGCAGATCCCCACCCAGAACACACAGGTGGGAACTGGGAACACTGGGAGGGACTGGGATGGGATTGGGATGGGATTGGGATGGACTGGGAGAGACTGGGAGGGACTGGGATGGGATTGGGATGGATTGGGATGGACTGGGAGGGACTGGGAGGGACTGGGAGCACTGGGAGCACTGGGAGCACTGGGCCGAGCTGGCGCTGCTGCTGCAGATCCCCACCCAGAACACACAGGTGGGAACTGGGCAAACTGGGAGCACTGGGATGGACTGGGACAGGATTGGGAGGGACTGGGATGGACTGGGAGGGACCGGTCTCCCCCAGTCCTCTCAATCCCCAGTGCCCCCAGTGTCCCCAACCCCCCCAAATGTCCCCAATGTCCCCAATCCCCCCGATGTCCCCAATGTCCCCAACGTCCCCGGTGTCCCCGGTGTCCCCGGTGTCCCCATGTCACTCACCCAGCACCCCCAGCCGGTAGTTCATGGTGACGACGATGACGTTGCCGTGTCCCCAATCCCCCAATGTCCCCAGTGTCCCCAGTGTCCCCGGTGTCCCCAATATCCCCGGTGTCCCCAATGTCCCCGGTGTCCCCAGTGTCCCCGGTGTCCCCGGTGTCCCCAATGTCCCCATGTCACTCACCCAGCACCCCCAGCCGGTAGTTCATGGTGACGACGATGACGTTGCCGTAGGCCGCCAGCACGCTGCCGTCGAACATGTTCCCGGTGCCCTCCATGTAGGAGCCGCCGTGCAGGAACAGCATCACCGGCTTCTTGCCGCTGT